CCTACCCTTCCATATTAGCTGAATTGGATTGTGATCTGCCCATTCATTGGGTAGGATTTCAATCCCTTTTATCTCATTTACTATTTCCCCATTCATCCATGCCATATCAATTTTGTCCATATTTGATGAGGATTTGAATAGAATGTAAATTGTTTTTTCTCAGGATGTAATCTTCTCCATATATCAATAAAATTTAACTCCTTCATAATTTCCATGCATATTTTGGGAAGCTCTCTTTTTTTCCCTTTCTTCCTCCCCCCCATTACTGTGGTCTTTTTGATAATCAGCAGTAGAATTAAAGTCCCCTATAATACAAATATTTCTTTTTTCCAATCCTACTATTTTCCCATAAAGATGCTTTAAAAACTCTTTTTGATCTCCATTCGGGGTGTAGATTACCACTAAGAGAATTGGGATGGCATTAATCCAGATCTGCAAAACCAGAGTTCTTCCCTCAGGATCCGACCATATTAAATCTGCTTTCATATCCTCTTTAACATATACTGCAATCCCTTTCTTTTTCACTGCATCTGCTGGTGCAGTGAATAGCTTCCCTAATTTCTGACATTCTAAGTATTTTTCATCTGATTTCTTTATATGAGTTTCTTGTAGACATACTATATCAGCATTTTGTTTGATTAATTTGGCTATTATCCTTTTCCTTTTTATTGTCAAGTTTAAATCATTTATATTAATTGATATTAGTTTCTTTTCTTCTTCCATTTATTTATTTATTTATTTATTTATTTATTTATTTATTTATTTATTTGATTTGATTTGTCAATTGTTTACAAGATAATAAGTATAAGTGTATACATAGTTGTGAATACATGAGATGGGTACATATAAGAAAAATAAAAGAATAGAGAAACAATAGGACAGGGACGGTAGGCACGTTGGTACGCTTATGCACGCCCCCTACAGACCTCTTAGGAAAGGGGTGAGGTCAATGGTAGACAGTCTAAGGTTAAAGTTTTTGGGGTTTGGGGAAGAGACTACAGAGTCGGGTAGAGTATTCCAGACATTGACTACTCTATTGCTGAAGTCGTATTTCCTGCAATCAAGTTTGGTGCGGTTTACTTTGAGTTTGTATCTATTGTGTGCTCTTGTGTTGTTATGGTTGAAGCTGAAGTATTCATTGACAGGTAGGACATTGCAATGTATGATTTTATATACCATGCTTAAATCAGACCGAAGACGGCGTAATTCAAGGTTTTCTAGTTCTAGAATTTCAAGTCTGGTGGCATAAGGTATTCTACAACGAGTAGAAGAGTGGAGAACTCTTCTTGTGAAATATTTCTGGACTTTCTCAATTGTGCTAATATCAGATACGTAATGAGGGTTCCAGACTGATGAACTGTATTCGAGTATTGGTCTAGCAAATGTTTTGTATGCTCTGGTTAGTAGTGTGAT